TTGTAGTTAGAGTGAGAGCCAAACATGGATTCCAGCATTTCAAGTCAAACCTGGGAAATCAGTGTTGTTTCCAGAAAAAGGCTTGCTCATAAATTGGCCATAAGGACATTTCCCTTGGAAGATGACATTTAGTGCAATGATGCTTGATACACACAAAACAGAACATTGTCTGGCATATAGCTGGTGGCCTACAAATCAAAGTCAAGGCCCATGAACATCACATCTGCTGTGAAGGGACAGATGGAAACACCTTACACATGTGTTAGAAGGATGCCAGCTCACTTCACATTAAGCTCCCAGACTTTTTTTTCTTTCAAAGTGAGGTCTCATGTAGCTCAGACCGGCCTTAAACTCATTCTGTAGCCCATGATAACCCTCAACTACTTATCCTCCTGCCTCTATCTCCCATGTACTAAATTACAGGCGGGTGCTGCTGTACTGGGATCCAAACTTGGGTTTTTCTATGTGGGAAATATAATGAGAGGAAGAAGTGATTAATGCTCTGGGTAGAAGCCACACATTTTCCCATGTGTGGAAGCAGAGGAAAGTAGCTTCATTAAAGACAAGAAGCTACCGCAGCGGGATGAACCATGCACATCTCCGAGTATCTCCACAAAACGAGAGAGCTTTGGGTCCATTTAAGCTTTCTGTTTATCTTAATGTATGTAGAATTGTGGAGTGACATCTATTCGGGGAATTATCAAAGCTTCAGGTCCTACTTCAAGATGCACTTAAGTTTAACGACAGAGGGGTGGGGGTCTATTCGGGGTACACAGTTTGTGGATTAGAGCGATTCTAACTCTAGGTATTGATAGTTCTTGGTATCCAGGTACTTTGTCATTTGTACTCTCGATGTTCTAGCATACAAACCATCCTTTGAAACATAGAACAAGTGGGCGACAGAGAGGAGATATCCATGTGTCGGGGAACAGTGCCCTCTACTGTTCATGCAGAATATATGCAGCTTGGTTAAATAAAGGGCACTGCAACAGCCCAGTTGTCTGCTGTGATGGAGACACCATTTGGAAAGGCAGTGTTGAGGTCTCAGGTATAAAAATGCTGCAGAAGCCAGGTAGCCAGCTGCAGCAGCTCTCTGGTCATGCAGTAGGTAGCCTCTGTTTTTTTTTTTTTTTTTTTTTTTTTAATGCTGCACATGTGCCCTGCTTCAAGCTCACAGCAAGCACCCAGGAGGTGTGTTCCGCCCTTTACCAGAGGAATTTTAAAAGCAGTGAAGCTAACCACTGCACCTTAACTCTAGACCGTCTCTGCTTCAGAGGGTCACAACGTTAAGATTTCAATCCATTCAAGGCAGAACAGTTACAGCTGCAGTCATAGGAACCACAGTTCATCTTCAGCTACTGCCTTCCGACCCCAAACAACGCCCTCAGCACCCATCTTTATTTTAAACAACCAATGAGATGCCAAGCTCGTGCTGTGGATCTGAGTCCTCTTCAATCACAGTCAGCTGTTTTCTCAGCATTATCCCACTTAGCCACAGCAGAGAAAATAGAGTGATGAACCATTTACAGAAGGGAAAAAAAAAAGTCTTAACATTTTCTTCAAAGGATTCTGAAATTACAATGTGTGGCAGTACTTTTCTGCTTCTACTTCTGAGTTTCTAATGTATGAGGTGAGAAAGTGTCGACTCACCTCACAGGGCAGAACACGCTGGTAGTGAGTTTTTTCACATCGTCTTTCTGTATGCCAAGAGAGTCCGTAACATACCACCGACTGCCCGCCCAGTGGGCACAGACCACCAGGCTCAGGGAAGGAAGGGCTAACGCTAACGTGGTGTGTAATGCAGACCTGGACTGGTAGCCTTTAGGAATGAGCTTGGTGTTGGGTCTTAGGATACTGCAGTATCAGGAGACAAGTCAAAATTACAATTTAACAGTCCCATATAATTTAATGGGTGACGTTGCCCACCCTCATTTGAGACAGGACCTCACTTTGTAACTGGCTAGCCTGAAACTCACTCTGTAGACCAGTCTGGGCTTGAACTCGGAGATCTGCCTGCCTGTGCTTCAATCTTTTAGTACTTCTGTTTAGTCACTTCCATTGAAAATGTTAACCCAAGATAGAATAGACTTGTGCATGTGTGCGCGCATGTGCATGTCTATCTTGGGTTAACGTGTGTGTGTGTGTGTGTGTGTGTGTGTGTGTGTGTGTGTGTGTTTGTGTGTGCCTGTGTATGAAGAGCCCAGAGGCTGATGTTGATATTGTATTCTTCTGCACTCTACACCTTGAGACAAAAGTCTCTCACTGAACCAGGGGCTCACACATTTTCAGCTAGATTGGCCCCCAAACCTCTGGGATCTGCTTGCCTCCATTTGCTCTGCCTTGGGGTCACTGATCCATTACTCAGGTGCTAGGCTGGGGATTTGAACCCAGGTCCTCATGCTTTTACAGCAGGAATTTTACTACTGAGCCATCTCCTCAGCCTTAGATTTTTAAAATATTTTATTTGTAATTAATTCTTAGAGAATTTAATTTCACACAGTGTATTTTGATCATATTTACTCCCCAAGCTCCTCCAGTACCACCGTCCACCGTCCACCCTTCACTCTCACTTCCCTATCCCCCAACTTTGAGTTTTCTTAGTCTATCACCCCTCCCCCCACCAAGCCCAGGTTGTGTTGCCCAATGGCTTGTTTTCAGTCCTTTGGTAAACATGTCACCGTGGCAGCTGACCTCATGGTCTAGCATAACCCACTGGCCTGACATCACTGCCCATTGGACATTGTCATATGGGGAATTCCCCCCCTCTGTTTCCTATTACAGGACCCATCATGACCACATGGATCTGTTTCCCTTTCTCCTCTTCTCAAGGACAGATGTTATGCCTCTCTTGTCTTGTATCTCTTGCTCTTTTATATTCATTTTTCCTCCTCCAGACAGGAGTGGCACAAACTCAGGATTTGGAATAGTAACTATTTGGGAATTTAGATATGTAGAGATCCTGCCTCAACAGCCCAGCCAACAGCAGCTTAAGAACTAAATTTATGTCAGACTACGGAAATAAGTGCTTTAAACCACCTTTTATTAAAATTTCTCCAGGGGTCGGCATTTTTGAGGAGTGTGGAAAGTGACTGCAGGAAAGGTGTGTTCCTTTGAGCCTCGCTTAGGTGATTTTATGAACCCTTTAGGTTCCCAGGGCCCTAAGAGGAAAGATTCCTGACTACAGGAAAAGGGGGTAACCTCTAGAGAACAGGCTGGCTCTAGTCACCAGAAGTTTCCTGATAGACCAAAGTTAGAATCCATCTTAATTCTGAAAACTTGACCTTGGTGCTAATGATTTAAACAGAGGGAGAGGTGTGCCTTGAGCACAGTGCTGAGACCCTGAGCATGTGGCTTCCTGGGCTGTGCTTGGCACAGAGGGACACTCACCTGCCTCTGCAGAGCACACAGTGCTTGGGATCTTGGGCAGCTCTAAGGTTTCCAGGACAGGCCTGTCTTTCTCTCCTTGGCTCATGTGTCAGGAGTATCTCTTTCTATTATCCGGTGTGTCTTCATGTGTTTAATAGGTGATCCCTGCTCCTTGTGTAGTTAACTTTTCTACAGTGACATCATGTGGTCTCAAAAAGCAATAGCAGTGGGCTGAGCCAGCTCCTGTTCATTCCTGGCCAGTAGTGAACTTCAGAGCTGTCAGGGGTTTGGACAGAGTGAGAAGGAGGGAGTCTGAACGACCCTGTCATAAGGCACTCAGGTGCTTTGGCAGTTTTGGAAAAAGAAGGGCTGTGGCCATGTGTCAACGACATGGAGCCTCAAAAGTGGTTTATACTAGTTGTGTGTGGTTTAGAGTCCTTGTTTATTGCAGCTCTAAAGACCTGATTAATGACACGATCCTTATCCTGATCTGTCTGTGGGAATTTTCAGTATCTCAGTCTACGATCTTGAGGGTTTAGGAAGTTTGCTTGTGGGAAGACAGATGCAGCGCCAGCTTTAGGTTTGTTGAATTGCTAGAGCTGAATGATTAAGGGAATGTCTGCCTTTGCTTGTCAAGCATTCCTCTCCCCATTTCTGGAAACACAGGCTCTTTTCCTGTGGGAAACACACTGTGGACAATGTAGCTGGGCTGGTCCCCTTAACAATTTCTCACACACAGGCACTGATGGAGGGCAGTGGAGGAAATCTAACGCCCTGCTCTATTAATCTCCTATTTCCCTCAGTCTGGGTCTCATGGACTCTGAAGCCCACTCTTTAGGCTCAGCTGCCTGGCCAGAGAGCTCCCAGGATTCATCACTCTCTCTTCTTCAGCATTGGGCTTTCAGGCACAGGCCTCTTTTTTTTTTTTTTTTTTTTTTTAACATGGGGACCAGGGATTTGAACTCAGGTCCTCATTCTTCCACAGCAAAAGGCTCTTACCCATTGAGCCAATTCCCAGTTCCTCTTCTCCTTTTTACCTCTCCTATTCCTTAACAAGGAATTGGACCGCTGCTTCAGGCTTGACCAGTCAGAAAGTCTGTCCTGCTGGCCACAGTGATGGTGGGACGGGAGGTAAACTATTTACCTCAGGATGGGCAGCCTGTGTTCTTTGGGCTTTGCAACTAGAGCTATGGGCAAAGGTGATTTCATGCTGCTGAGATTGCTAATGGGGCAGTACAGAATTTAGGGTGCTGACAGTCATGAACTAAAAGGGGAAGGACCAAAGAGAAAGAAAAGGAAATGAAACCTGACGACATTTTGAGGCTTCTTCCAGCCTTGCCTAGTATATTATAATCTCTTATTTTCAGAGATTTTGGTTGTTGTTGATTGTTGTTTTTATTTGTTATTGTTATTATTTTAGAGAGAGGACCTTCCTATATTGCCTCTGCTGGTCTGGAACTCATGGTCTTCATGCCTTAGTCTCGTGAGTATCTGATGTGTGGCACTATAGTCAAGTCTGTTGACGGGTACACACACGGGTCAGTGCTATCTTTCCAAGTATCTATAGAATTCTGAAATTAGCCGGGTTTGTTCACCACAGTGTAACCGTTCGTTTTATCCATTCATCCAGAGACTCACTGACAAAGTTCTTTACTGGGCAAGGTTAATCTTGGAAAAGTGACATGGAGACGAATGGGCACCATGGTCCCAACCTCGAGGGAAAAACCGAGGCATACCTCTACCCTCCACGGGTTTGGCCACCTCCCATCGATGAGTCTGTGTCCCTCTTGCCTTCTGCTGACCACAGACACGGCTTGGGGTCAGTGGGGTAACATGTCTTCCGTCTCAAGTGTGAGGGACGGGAACAGGAAGCAGCGCAGCTTCCACAAGACGTCCCTGCTCAGAATCTTGGGCAGTGCGTTGATGAGGAGGTCGGGATTTATAAAGCTTAAATGGAAGATCAGGTACCCCAGCAATCTGATGAAAAATAGTGTGGTAAAAAAGAGGGAGCGAAAAATCCTGAAAGAGAAACCCCAGAAACTGTTAATCAGGAGTTGCAAAACCTGGAACAGAATAGAAACTCAGACCTGAGCACTTCTCACGGCTTTGTAGTCCGCTGTCAGCCCTTAATTTACTCCCATTGCTTAGTCGGTTACTCCTCCATGCATCCTACTGTATTTTTGTTGTGCCATTTCTCATCACAAAACTTCATTTTGTTCCCTTAGTTTTGATTTTTTTTTCCAATTATTTTCCAAAGTGGTTAGTTGCATCTAAGTGTGTACTTCTTCTGTGGGCCCACATCTCTTCCAACATAATTTTATCAGATGCTTAAGATTTTGCCAAACAGTTGGAAAACAAGAACTCATTTGGCCTCAATTCACATTTCCATGATGAACATTGAAAGTGAACATTGGTCCATAGGCTAGTTGGTCTTACGTGTTTCCTTCCTCTTGCCCATGGTAGTTTGTGCTTGTTGACGGACAGGAACTCTTTATGTATTGTGGATGTAGATCCCTTTCCATTGTGTGTAATTTTCTAAACTCTTCCACTTTTATAATGTTTCCTGGTTCTCAGGTATCAGAGAACAAAGGTTCTTAATTTTAATAGGATCTTGTTTGTCTACCTTTCATTTGATTAGTGATATGCTTAAGTCAAGTGTGATGATATATGTTTGGAGGCCCAGCACTTGGGAGGTGAGGCAGGAGGGAGACCAGCACAGCAATTTCCTGTCTCAAAAAACTAAACAACAAAAGTCTAGAAAGATACTCCCATTTTTCTATTTAAAGTCCATGCAGGTTTGTAAATATCTGCAAACTCATTATTAGTTTTGCCCTCCATGCATGCACTGGAGTGTGGACAGGAATTAACAGGCTACTTCTAAGGAATTAACCATGGCAGTGAATCCTGCTGGACTCTGTTGTTATGATTTAGAGGAGCAGCCTTGGGGCTCTGGGAGCATTCTGCTCATTGTTTCAGGAATGTCTTAGCGAGGGATATGGGAACATGTAATACTTCATATATATGATATAAAAAGGTGTTCTCCTTAACCAAATTTCCCAGACAATTGGAGTTGACTTTAAAGCACCGACAATTTTAACTGTCCTAGTAGAACTCTTTCTAATCCATACTTCATGCCACTTTGAATATATGTTTCTTTATGCCTTCTTAAGCAGATCATATGGAACATAATCTGACCTTTTCTTGCACGTGAGGGCCTTACTGAATACTAATTGTTACTTGCTGTCAAATGTTCCCCTCAGGACTCATATGTGCTCAGGTGTTCAATTTGGCATCCTGTTCATTTAAAAAGTTTAAAAATTCTATTGTGTGCTGGATACTATTAGGGATTTCTTTCTGCAAATGTTTTCTGTTTGTTATGTCTGCTGTTAGATGGTTGTACACTTTCTTCTAAGGGTTCTGTCCCCCTACTTCCTGTCTACCAGTAACTGTATGCAACAAGTTACTTCAAACCATGTAAGGGAGTAAGGGAGCTAATGTGGGAGCTGCCACATCTTGATTGAGAATGAAGACTTCGCTTCTTCATCACTACTAAGTTGCTGACTTCTGACACTGGAGAGTTGAGTCTAGCAGTTGCCTTTGGATCAGAAGTCACGTCACTAGAACTGAGTTACACAGCTGGTGACACCAGTCTGCTGATGTGTGTGTGTGTGTGTGTGTGTGTGTGTGTGTGTGTGTGTGTGTGTATCAAGTTCTCCTTGTTTAGATTTTGCTCTTTGCCAGGATGGCTCCTTAGCTTTGCAGGAAGTTTACTGGAAGAGGTCTTGCTTACCTTTTACTGAACCTTGATGCCTTTTTGGTGATGGAATCATCCTGGAAGAAACACCAATAGTAAATAAGCACTTTCTGAAAGTTGCCAGGTAACATTAGTGAATCATCAGTTGAATATTATATTGACATAAATCTTACAAATTCTTGATATCAGGACATGTAATTTTCAAAGATGAAAGTTTCTTTGTAAGATTTATTTTATTTCATTTTAAACTTATGTGGGTCTGTGTGTGAATATGTGTATGTAGGTTTGGGTACCCATGTGTGGTGATACTTTATTTGCGCTGAAATGTGATATTTTATTTGTATGTTAATAAATAAAGTTTGCCTGGAGATCAGAGGTCAGTGAGCCATAAACAGAAGTCAGGCAGTGGTAGCCCACACCCTTAATCCCATCACATGGGCAGAGTCTCTGTGTGGTCAGGACACAGCCAAGCGTGGTGACACGAGCCTTTAATCCCAATACCAACCATAGAAACCTGGAGGTCTATATAGACAGGCAATGACGAGGAAGTCATGTGGCTGGGCTTAGAGCCAATGACAAAGCAGAACAGGAAGGCAATAAAAACACAGGTTAGATGGGAATAAGCTCTCTCTGGGGAATCCATGGTGGTGAGGTGGTAAGATAAGGCTAGTCATGGCTCTTGGCTAGTTCTCTGATCTCTTTGGCTATTACCTCTGTATTTGGCTCTGTGTTTCTTATTTAATAAGACTGTTTAGAAATTCATCTACACCCATGGATGCCAAAAGAGGGTGTCAGATCCCCTAGAGCTGGAGTTCCAGGTGATTGTGAGCTGAATGACTTGGGTGCTGAGAACTGAACTTGAGCCCTCTGCAAGAGCAGAAAACACTCTTAATGCTGAGCCATTTTTTTTCAGCCTTGGTTTTTACACACATACATGACTGATAAAGTAAAGTAGAGAAAGATAATTATTAATGAGGTAATAATATAACTGGTAAGTGACCTACAAACTGAGCCCTCAGAGTCCACATTCCTAGCTCTTTAAATTTCTCATTTGCCTTCTACTTAGCCAAGGGGAATTTATAGCCCATGGGAATCATACAGACATGCCCTAAGAGAGAAGTTTCAAAAGCACTAAAGTAATCTCAAAAGGAGGCTTTCTGGATTTATTTCTTTTCTTTTCTTTCTTTTTGGTTTTCTTCTTTCTTTTCTTTCTCTTTCTTTCTTTCTTTTT